AACCAACCTCGATACTTATGAGCTTTCGCCGACTCTTTGGTTAGTTGTAAGTAGACCTACGTGAAATAGAAAATAAAGACAGTAAGAAATAAAGATGAAATCTTATATTCAGCTTTTATATTGTGAATTAAACACACCAGGGCCTAATGCGCAAAATCAAACGTCAAAATAATTTTCAATAACGATTCTCGAACCGTTAACTCTTTCCCAATTTTATCAATAGGTAATCACTAACGAATATAATTACGAGGAGAATCATATACATATATATATATATGAATTTGAGTTCTTTTTTAACTCTTATTTAACCCAATTAGTTTATACTTATATGCTAGAATTTTCCCATTAATAAAAACCCACTGTCTATTTGAATCTGGTTTACAAATTTCTTAATAGGGTACTTAAGGAATTTTCATAACATTTTTTTTCGTTGTTATAAATAAAAAATCTTTGTTACCTTACCATATAAGGTCGTTTCGTAGGAGGAACCCTTTTACTGTAAAGTATTCTTCTAGTATCGACCAAAGTAGTATTTTCGAATTCCCAACCTTTATCATCGATATCGTCTCCTTCATCGGTAAAATTTACTGACGTTTTCACTTCATTATTAACATCATTTTTCTGAACAGTAGCTGGTTCAGAAGCTTGTTCGACAGCTTCTGTTTGTTGGGGGATAGCTGAAGCACCTAAAAAGTAATTTACCTATACATAAATGTCTCAAAAGTAGCTACCTAAGTACTTAATTCTATTTTATAGAAATACTTATTTATAGAAATGTAACCTTAACTGCGTATAAATTAAATTTTGAATCAAAGATTGACACTTACCTAAAATAAGACCTAATAAAAACAGAATAAAACCAAAACCAGTCATTTTGTCGTAGACGGCGATCCTAAAAAGATCGCGTCAAATAGTTTCAATTATAAATTTAAAAACGCTATAAGAACACTAATTTTTTGCTCAATCTCCAGTATTGTTTCGCTTCGTTGAAATTAATTAAAGAACTTCCGTTGGCGTCCGTATGTTAATAAAAAAAGTTAATATAACATGTACTATTACGTTTATGATTGATGTATGTATTTATGGTTGAATCGATAAGTTCTGCAATACACGCTTTTTAAGATTTTGCGTCAGTAACTTGTCGTAGAAAGACTTTGTTACATTCTTGAGCATTTATATTATATTATCCATATTTTGAAATTGGCTACTTTGATTGAAATGAAATGAAATGAAATGAAATGAAAATATCTTTATTCAAGTAGGCTATTACAAGCACTTTTGAATCGTCCAAAAAACTTTTTTTCCCCTACCACTTGTTCAGGACGTCTTTTAGCTGACAAGAAGAACAAGCGAAAGAAACTTATCAGCTTTTTATCATAAGTAATGACATTTACATAAATCATGTCATTACCAAAATAATATGTATTATCAATTTATCACAATAGTAAATACAACTTTCAAAGTCTGTAGGACATAAGTTGAACATATAATTAGTCTTTATAGAACAAAGCGAAGGCTATTAATTCCATGCATTGCGATCCTTAAAATAATCATCAACTTTATAATAGCCTTTACTCACAAGTATATTCTTTACATGAATTTGAAATTTATTTATGGGTAGGTCAATTACATTTTGTGGAACTTTATTGAACATAGCAATACATTTACCCAGAAATGATCCTCTGGTTTTTTGAAGTCTGAAGCTTGGAACGGCAAGTTTATCTTTATTTCTTGTGTTAAGATTATGAACACTACTTTTTTTTGTGAAGGAATCGTAATGTTTTCTTGTATACATAATATTCTCATAGATGTATTGAGAGGCAACAGTCAGAATATTTATTTCTTTAAATATTTCTCTTAGAGATTCCCTAGACCGTAAATTATATATAGCACGGACAGCTCTCTTTTGTAAAATAAAAACATCCTGAATGCTAGCCGCAGAACCCCATAACAATATACCATACGTCATTACACTATGAAAATAACTAAAATATACCAATCTTGCCGTTTCAACATTTGTCAAGAGTCTAATTTTCTTAACAGCAAAAGCTGCAGAACTCAGTCTACTTGACAAGCTATCAATATGAGGATCCCATTGCAGTCGGGAATCTAGTGTAATACCAAGGAACTTTGTCGATTCTACTAACTCAACTTTTTCACTATTTACATTTATAAGTGTACTGACATGCCTCACATTAGGTAATGCAAACTTTATGCATTTCGTTTTATTTGAATTGAGCTTTAAATTATTATTATCAAACCACTGTAGAACGTTGTCGAGAGCATTATTTACATCGTCAAAACAATCATTACCCCTCTCAACTTTAAACAGTAAAGAGGTGTCATCTGCAAATAATACTGTCTCGCACAAATTCTTCGTAAAGTGAGGAAGATCATTTATATAAATTAGAAAAAGCAATGGTCCTAATATCGATCCCTGAGGTACGCCCATAGTAACTGGTGCCCCTGCAGATTTCGCTTCATTGATTACTACCTTTTGTATTCTAGCAGAAAGATATGATCTTATTAGATGAAGTGAATTTTTCGTCACACCATAATGTTCTAATTTCCCAAACAGTGTTTCATGACTAACGCAGTCGAATGCTTTTGATAGATCACAAAAAATGCCAATAGCATCTTGTTTATTCTCCCAAGCATCATAGATATGCCTCAGAAGTGCAATTCCAGCGTCTGTTGTACATTTACCTCTTCTAAAGCCAAACTGATTTTGGTGAAGTAATTTATTTAATGAAAAGTGTGCAAGCAGTTGATTGTACATCATTTTCTCAAATACTTTACTTAATGCTGGTAGAATAGAAATTGGTCTGAAATTACTAGGATCAGACTTGTCGCCTGCCTTAAAAAGTGGGATTATTTTACCATATTTCATTAAATCAGGAAAAGTTCCTTCATCAATGCACTTATTAAAAATAAAAGTTAATTGAGGTGCTATAGCTGGTATTATAGATTTGATAACATAAGTTGAAACGCCCCAAAGATCTTCGGTTTTTTTGACATTAATACAATTAAATGTTTTAATAATTGAGCAGACGTTAACGTGTCTAAAATAAAATTCAGTATTGCACTTATCAACAACTGACTCTAGATGCGTAACCGCAAGTTTAGAACATGAACTAAGATTTCTTGTGATTTCTATTGGTGTCTTAGAAAAGAATTTCTCAAATGTCTCGGCAACCGCTTCATCTGTTTTAATAATTTTATTGTCAACCTCTAATGAGTATGTGCGCATATTACTTTTATTTTTTCCCGTTTCTTGATTTATGATAGTCCAGGTTGTTTTTATTTTATTTTCTGAATTGTAAATTTTTTCAGATATATATTTTGCTTTTGCTGAAACACATACTTTCCTAAAAATTTTCGAATAATTTCTGACATATTCAATAAACTTTGGATCGGTCGAGGTACACTTTAGCTCATACAAATCATACAGCCTATTTCGACTTTTGTAGATGCCAGGTGTAGCCCAATCACTAAATTTCTTTTTTTGGTTAGTAAAGTTAATTGTTTTGAGTTTAAATGTTTTATCAAATTCTCCCTTTATCAAGTTAAAGAAATTATTATAAACATCATTTATATTTTCCAAATTACTAGTTGTCAACTGAGTATGATTTGCAGAAACACTGTTTTTAAATTTTTCTAAATTACTTTTGGTAATAGGTCTACAAATTATATTGCATTTAGGAGAAACATGATGGTGCTCGAAAGTTGCTAGAACTCCGCTATGGTCAGATTGAATACAATTTATAATCGATTTTTTGAACACCTTACATTTACAAAAAATATTATCTAAGCAAGTAGCAGATGTGGGTGTAATGCGGGTAGGTTCATTAAAAATATTTTCTAAATTAAAACATTTAAACAAGTTCAAAAATCTACTTGATTTAGCACATTTTATTAAAATATCTATATTAAAATCACCACATATCACTACTTTCTTATCGACTTTGCAAATTAATTTAAATGCATCCTCCATAGCAGATTCAAATTGACAGTAGTCCCCATCAGGTGGTCTATATACACATATAATAATATACTGTTCAAGTTCCACACATGACAATTCAATATGTCGCTCAATTGAGAGGGATACTATATCTTTACGTTCTTTACATTTTAAATAATTACTTATTATTATTAAAGAACCCCCTCATATGTCATTTATCCTACAGAATGAACTTATAATTTTATAATTTTTAAAACCCGTAATTAATTCATAATTTTTGAGCCAGTGCTCTGTAATACATATTATATCAATATTCATACTATTTAAACACATTTCTAATTCTAGATCTTTTCCAGAAAAGCCTTGTATATTTTGGTGAACAATAGTTAAATAGGTAGACTTTTCCTTGGTCATCTTATTGCTAGAGATTTTCTCTATTGTCTTATTAAACAATTTAAATTATTTAAATTGTCAAAATTTAGTTTTGGAACATATTCCAAAGTCTGTTTGTTTAAGTCAAAATCATTCTGCTCAATAAAAGCAGTAGAGATAGCCAAATTATTGGCTAAATTTTTAAAATAAAAAACTAGCGAGGATGCTATTTGTCTCTTAAAATAGAAAGAAAGATAATATTTATCTCTTGTCAAATATTTAGTATAACAATGATTTTATGGAAGTTCTTTAGTTTATACAAGTATAGTCACATTCTCAGTAATTTCATATCAATTAAATATTAGCGTATTACAAATACTTGTTTTGACAAATGTTTTATTGTTGAGCTTTATAACATTATGATAAACGTTCTTAAATATAATGGGATCGAACTTCAGCCACTTTGCTTCAATATGTTAAGGCACTTTATAGTCATCTATACATGGATAGATATTTGTGTGTAGGTAATTGCCACGCTTATGTACCTTTTCTAATACATTTCCTTATTATTGTATTTTAAGCTCTAGATTGTTTTCAAATTTCAATTGATGTTGGTGCAATAAAAAAAAAATATTTTAAACAGTATCCTTTATTTTTTTTATTTAGATTACACCGTTGTACTATTAGTATTTGTTAAAACTGATGTCTCATTGGCTGCACGAAGTATAAAACCACTGCCGGAAAATACTTTGTCGCCAGAAGCATCCACTGTCGTCTCATGAGCTCGATTTACAACCTCTGGGTTGACAACGGGTGGTATAGTGGCATCTATTTCATTTTTCGCAGGCCTGTAAAATAATATAAGTACGTTTGATACATATAGCTACTTCAAATACAATAGTATTCATAAATATCTCAACAACTTCTTTTTAAATTAATTTTTAATCATTTCAAGAAACTCTTTCATCATCAGCCGGAAGACGTCCACTGCTGAACATAGGCCTCCCCCTTTGAACGCCACGACGGACGACATTGCGCCAGCTGCATCCAGCGGCCGCCCGCGACTCGGACGATGTCGTCCGTCCTCTTTATCAAAGTTTCAATTTATAATTGATTTTTGTAGTATCGCAAAGGTTTTTCTTATATTGAATCTTCAATTGAATAATTAGGTAGCAATTGTACCCATCTGGATGATTCTTCCACGATAGTGTTTTCTCTATATGGGTGATCCCCGAACGAAATTGTCTTCTACATTTGGGCCTGTGAACAAAAATACAATGCTGATTATTCTAATAAAGAAACAATTGAAAAAAGAACATACCATTTGCCACATTTGATCCAATTAGGTAAATCAATCTCTGGTCTTATCTAAATTTTCGAAGTTATGATATTATTTTCCCTGCCAATAACACGGCGTGAAGATAAAGATAGATAGATGTTATTAATACAAACTCGTTTTGTTATTGTTGGTAAATTTCACATGCCTGTTACCATGAATGAATGAATATATACATTATTGCACAGTAAAACATTAACATAAAACACATAATTAGGAACATAAACGCCTTATTGCTAAGTAGCAATCTGTAACAGACTTCCTGTGGATGACTAAATAAACCATACTGATTGGGAAAAGAAACTGCTGGCTAGTAAATAACAGAATGAAGAAGAAAAGAAATACATATAGGTACTATACAATAAACAAAGAACATACAAAACATAAATATGTACAATTTCAGGAAACTGAATCCATCTTGAGGAAATGAATGTTCCTTGATATGTTTAATAGAAGACTCCTGTTATTATGTGTCTCTGAATTTTAGGTTTAAAATTTTGAATAAAAGGCAGTGACTGAGATCCACATTTAATAGCTCTGATAAAAAATCGAAGGGAAGGAAAAGTTATGGTAAGACCTTATATCTCAGATCGCATTAGAATCGTTAGAATGAAAAAGGAAGCGTTCTTTAAGATAATGCGGTGTGTGTAGATTAAAAAGAATAGAATGACATTCTACCATTTACTTTTTCGTACAAATAATGGTAATCAAATTGTTTACTCACTCAACTTCCTTATAAAGAGCGCATGAGATGAACTGACGGTTCTTGTAGACGCTTGTATAAAGGAATGGCCCATAACATTTATTAGTTCTCTCCTTGACAAGGCATGCAGATATAATTCCAATAACAATAGCATTGACTCCACCCCCGTAAACGAGTGGACCACCATGATCGTTCTGTTCCACAAAATAATCAATATTATTTGATGGAACGTTCAAATTAAATTCAAATGCTACTAAATTAAATAAGGACAACTAAAATATGAAAATAGCACCTATAATTAAATAAATATTAGACAACATATGATACATTGCTGAAATTTCATGATAAGTTAGCTAAAGTCCTTTATTATGAAAATAACTGAAACAGATCCCACGACAATCAGCAGGCTTACTCTTTAATACAATTTCAATCTCATCGTCCATCCAATCTCGATTTTAGTCAAATTATTCGTAATCTCAAAACCAACTGTTCAGTATTGTAATTGAATTGAGAATTTAGAATATAAACAAGAAATTAGCATCGGAAGGTCTTTGCAATTGTCGTTATTGTCTTATGCATATATCGATAACTCTTATGTTGAAAGAAAACAGATATGATTACAAAAAAAACATAATACAATTTGGTTTATTATCCAATAACTGAATAACTAACTGAGTAGCTCGGCGGCGCAGTGGATAAGCGCCGCGGCCCGCGATCGTTGTCGTTAAGCAACTTTCGCAAGGGTCGGTCACGGGATGGGTGACCAAAAAATTATTATGTCGAGTTACTCCGTGCTTCGGAAGGCATGTTAAGCCGTTGGTCTCGGCTGCAATTGCAGTCGTTAATACTCTCCAATCCGCATTGGGCCAGCGTGGAGGGTCATGGCCCATCCTCCTTAACCATCCATCAGGAAGGCCTGAGCCCCTGCAGTGGGGACATAAATGTGCTGATGATGATGATGATGATCCAATAACTACTCAATAACTACGTAACTGACGCTAATGTCACGCTTCGAGATTGTTGAACGCCACAATTTCAATGTCGATCAATCGCGATTGATTTCATGAGTGAGCCTGCATATCTGAGACAATGAAGTCATTGCTTCATTATATATATACAACGATAAGTTACAATGAGTTTAATAGATTTATCTTTGACACTATCTACAAATTGTCGCACCTCACAAAATCCTCCGTCTATATGGGGATTAGTTCTTCTATTAATAGTTGCGTTTCCTATCGTTTCATTGTGGTATGCAGAATGCAGTCTGAGATTTGTAGGTATTTTTTCGGTCTTCAACACGTGTGTGTCTCTCCTCAGGTCATCTTCTTCAGAGTAGTTTATATCTTGACAGTCAACGTATTTTTCCTATAATGTTTTCAAATTACAATGAAGTTAGTGTTTATTACCATTAGAAGTAAATTTAATAGTAATTTGTATAGAAATCTTATACAGTCTTAGCGTTCTAACAAATTGAATATTTCTTTCTTACGTTACATATTTCGGACATAGTTTGGCCAATGTCTTTTGTGCAAATCATATAGTTGTCAATAATGTTGTGGTAGCGGGATCCCCATCGTCTCTTGCATTTGCCCTTGGTAATGATTTCCACTTGAGCTTCAAGCAGATTTTGTTGGTTATCTTTTCTTCTGTTCACCCACTAAATGTAAGTAAAAATGCTTGATTTAATATATGAAATAATTGAAATCAGTTTCTAGTGATTTCAAGATGTTACTGTGATGATAGTTGTCACAGTAACATCTTGAAATTAACGCAGAGCTTAGATTTCAATAAATTTATAAAAAAATATTTCAAATAAAAAACGAGTTCATGGTGTTCTTACATCGTTATATCGGGAAGTGGTGCCCCAACCAGAAATTGATACAACAGACCCTGGATTCTCCAATGTTTGACTTTGGTTGTTGTAACAAATGGGTTTTGGCACAAATGCACAACCTCTGATTCTTCTGGTGAAATCGAATCCATCTTCCACTTTTACTACAGCGATATCGTTGTTCATCCATCTAATATTATCATTCTCGTGACCATCGAAGACATAATCTTTGAACGAAAATTTAGATGTTATTATTTTTCATTTATTGGTAAAAACATTAAAAAATAAATGTGAATGTTATTTATTGGTAAAGATGAACGTCCATATGCACGCATAGTTTGGATTATATTAAAAATTCCTATAACGTCATCAGCATAATTCCGACATCAAAACTGACAGTCGCATTTTTCATAGAAGCATCTGTGAAAATGCGACTGCATTGGACGTATAATATTCACAGATCCGTGCAACGTGTTGAGGCCGATGCGTGCGTGCTGAGGCAATGGATGAAAACCTTAAGGGTTCTAGCTCAGTTTGATTTTATTTGCATTATTACAGAATTAGTAAAATCAGCGTTGAAATAGAACCTACTTCAAAAGTTATAACGGTTACATTTCATTGAACCTCTATATATGGTATTGTCAGCACTGCACTCGACGTCGAGTTCGGGGCTAATTTTATGACTGAATAGAATAGCCGAAATATAAGTTCGGTTGTCTCAGATTGACATGTTACCTTAAACCACCGCTTGTATTAGAAAATGTGATCTTGCACAAAAGGTGCTAATATGGGTATAATAATCGATCATTATAATGTACAGTAATTGGTTTTCTTATGAGTTTATTATGCACACACGGACCTATACCTTTGTACATTTTGAATACATATTTTTTATATGTATTCAAAATGTACAAATCTCATTTAAATCTCATTTTGAATACATATTTTTTACACAAAAGTAATTAATGTTCAATATTAGTATAATAAAATATCTAACTCACATTGATAAATTAAAAAACAAGCATATAAAGAGTTTGAAAACCTGTTTCAATGTGAGATAGCCTACCCTATTATGCAGTGGTACTCATCTAATCTAATTCATGATGGGTGTGTTGTTAAAAATCAGTCTTTTTAAGTTCTATTGCCTCAATTTTTATGTTATGTTTTACAAAGCGACTCACTTTTAGGAACACACTTCCAGATGGCTTTCTTAGCGCCATTTTTGATGCATGGATTATTATATCGATCATCATCGTCAGCATATCTGTAAACATAATCATTTATACAGTATTCAATTTGGAAAAATAGTATCTGATATAATCCAAACAGCTATGAATCTTGGTGGACCACTGCCGTGGTCTCTCGTGAAATTCTATTATGAACGTCTTACTTGTAAGTTCCAGATACTACGTAGAAATGTTCAGCGTCTTCAATACATGCGGCAGAAGTTAGAATATACTCTTCATGTATTATGACACCTCCACATAACCATGTGCGATAATTTGGTTGTTTCCTGTTACTTCTAGGTAGTTTCAGGTAGACCTTTAGATGAATGATTGATAATATTTAATATATTTTTAGGCAGTTTCAGGTAGACCTTTAGATGAATGATTGATATATATAAGCTAAAAACCACGAGACGTCTTCTAATGCAGTCCTCTAGACTTAAACTTTAAGGAGCTTTTATTTCAGGTTACATTTACACTCCTTTTTTGAGCAGTCATTAAAAAAGGTCTATTTATAATTTTTGTACTTTATATTTTGAGATGTTTCGAATTATTTGCGGGCTCCGTGGTTACCATAATCACAAACATATAGTTTGGCCTTTCAAAATATGTTTCCTAAATTACACATGTTAAACTTCTAAATAGTGTGTCAATAATTTCTAATACTTAATAATATTAATAACTTCTTGCACATATTGAAAATAAGTAAAAACCACTAACTCAATACAATAACAACAGTTAAAAATACAATAATAACAGTTTCAGTGTTGTTTAGATTAGTTAGCCAAACATCTGTACATCACGACAAATTCACGAGAACGAGAATAGACTGCGGGTAGTACCACATTCATGGGTTGTATTATCCATGAAGGTTTTTAATGTATCCTTTTATTAAAATATTGAATACTAAAAGGTTGGTAGGTTTGATCATTTCTTACCATATAGGGTCGACCATCAGTGACTTCATCTCCATTGATGATACGTCTCGTTTCATTTAGAATTACCTCTACCTTTTTAGGAAGTTCAGTTGCTACTTCTATAGCTTCTATACCTGAAAAACCTATTATTTCTTCATATATATTTGATTAATCAAATAGAAAATTAAAGTCAAGTTATAGGGCAAAAGACCCGGTTTTGGCCACTTGCACCTTTTTAGGTATTTGAGACTTCAAATGACTACACTAACGGTAAAGTAATAAAATACCGTACATGAATACGGTCTTCAAAATGCTGAATATCGGCAAAAATAATAACGTTGTTAGCCTTGATGCGTCAAAGTTCACTTCCCCGTAACTTGTAAAATAGCCAAAATCAGGTCATAATCTTAAAATGGCCGGGTATGGCCCTATGTCGAATAGTAAAAATGTACCTACCTGAAAAGTATAAAATAGAAAAGTGTACATAGAAGATATACTTCATGACACCACCCATGGTTATGATAGAAGACAGTAAAAATTTTAACAATCTCATATTAAAAATATAATTTCACGCCGGACGCGAACACTGATGGTAATACATAATTGATAAAAACCAAAGTCATGAAACTGATTGTTTTTTAAATCATACCTGATTTGATTATTTAGCAACTGCAGGAAAATTTCATTAAAATTATCTTATTATTTATATGTTCTCTTAATTTATAAATATGTACGATTTGGGCTCTATCTAGGGTCACGGTAGTAAAATGCCAAGACGAGTAAAATGAAGCAAGGGCAGATTTTATGATCGTGTATGTCAACACGGCGGGTTTCGTTTTTGTTACAAACATATAGAGTCACTATTTGAATTTTAATATATAATAACTTATAAAAATTAATTTAAAAAAGTTGCGTAACGCATTGTAATAAGTCGGCGCACTATAGTCTGTTAGATGTGTGACAACTTTACAAAGATATAAATTATTACACACATTAAAAATATACAAAAGCACGAGAGTCAAACTGAAAATTAAAAACTGAGCAAAGTTATAAAGGTATTTCTTATTATGTCTCTTCAAAGATGTTAGTTTCAAAATTAAACTTATTTTTTATTATTATATGTCCAGCCAGTTCTTTCATCGTCGTTTTCGTATTATCTTATCAACAGGAGAATTCTATAGTATCGAGAAGAGTTTCTTAGGTCCACAAGGGTACACGGTCCTGTCGACCTAGGATATCTGAATTGTTGAAGGGGCTTATTAAAAAACCATTTGATTCTAATTTTTTTTAAATCTTGTCATCCTTTTCCTACAGGAACCAGAATATTTTTTATACAAAGATTAGTTAATGTTAATGATGTGGTGGTGGTGTTTGGATTGATATTAAGTACAGTAGAGTTAGTATTCCATTACCCAACTGCCTTAGCACGTTCAATATGCCATTGTCTCAGACAGTTGTTCCTAACTTGAAGCTAATTATCCCCGTGAGGGTAAATCAGTTATTGTGCGGGTTACAAAGAACCTAAGATTAAATTTAATAAAATAATAATAAAATTTTCCTAACATGGAACATGATGAGTGAATTTTTATATATGTGTTCTGTCAGACACCGCGCCGGCCGGGGGTGTTGGATGGCAGGTAAAATCAGATTTCATAATAGGTCACAGGGGTAACAATTGTAAAAAGCTTCGGAACCATTTTGCTGAGAACTTTTCGACCTCCATGTACCTATATTATGCTTGCAGGCGTCGAGGGATCCGCGAACCATGCATGGAGAACGCTGGCATAGAGTATAAGAACAGTTACCATTAGACGAAAGAAAAGGTTATAGTTATAATAAGGATACATGAATACATGATGAATGTTTTGAGAGCTTTTTTAGGCTTTTATACCGTCACTTTTGCTCATAGACCAGAAGAATATGAATCATACTCTGTGTGACAGTAAATGTATACTTTATCATCATCATTGCTGCGTCACAGGCCTTACTAAGATGGAATTGTATCAAATAGATGGAATGTGCCATAATCCACCACGCTGGCCTACAGTAGATTGATGGGTGCTAACGACTACAGCCGGGATCAATAACTTTACGTATCTCCAGAAGCACGGAGGAGTTAGAGATAATAGATTTTTGGTCAGCCATCCTATGACCGGTCATTCAAAAGTTCCTTAACTCTTGTGTAGCATGCCGAACGCGCTAGCCAATACGCGAACGAATTCCCCCCCTCTCTCTTTCTCTCTCTCTCTCTCTCTCTCTCTCCCCCTCGAAATATCTTTACCGTAGTCGAACTCAATGATAACTGGCGGGCAAGTTTATCATACTCGTACACGGGTGATGCTTGTGGAGATTTTTCAGCTCTAGACTACTCAATTTTGTGCCACTCTTTGATTATGCTTTATGAATAAGTATGGAGATCGATGGCGCAGTGGTTAGCGCGCTCGGTCTGCGATACGGTTGTTTTAGTACATTACGATATTAGTGTTATGATGGTTATAACATGCGAAGCAGAATTACAGCCCGAGCCGAAGGCGAGGGCGTAATTGAGCCGAGCATGTTATTACCAATACGTACGTATATCGTACGAAGTTTTTTAACACATTTGCGAGGAAACAGAAAAAAAAACATTTTATATTTTGTTCATTTTTAATTATTAAAACAGTTAGTGGAATTACAATTATTAAAATGATACGTAGTTGTAGTTGCTTTTTTAATTATGTTATTATTATTATTACTATTCATGATGTCATTGTTCTTGAAAGGTGGCAGAAGAGCATTGTAATTCGTCATTAGTTGTAAATAAAAAAATATTATCAGTAGTAGGGGGGCGCAGTTCAGGGCAAAACTTCTTCGTTTGTGGCTTCAAATTTATTTCCTGAGTTATTTTGGCACTTATATTTGCTTTGTTTTGGATGGAATCTTCTACATAAGATTCTGCTACTGCGTTAGAACGCCACCCGCCATGCCGCTTTAAAGTCAATATATCAGCTCCCGAATCAGCAAGTAATGTAGCTGACGTTCTTCTGAAACTGTGCCCTGTATAACCATCAGCATCCGGCAATCCTTAAAAAATTGACGACTTCCTTTGGCATGGCACCGAATTTATTTAAGCCAATAGGTTGCGCAGTACATTTACCTTTTTGGTAATTCTGAAAGAAATGATTATTTTTTCCCTTAGTCGTAGGTACGCAGAGCTTCATATTCTTTGACCACGTCATAAAATGGGCCGTCGATAAAAAAAAAAGATCGGGGTATTTTGTTTTTAGTGTTTGGGATTTTAGCTAAAAGCATTTTGCCTTGATTTTCAATGTCATTTGTGGTAATATTGTGAAGCTCTTGCCGTCTACAAGCACCATTAATACCAAATATTAACGCAACCTGAAAAGAAATAAAAATGTGTTAGATAAGGTATAGGTACTTAGCTTACACACGGTCGTTAAAAAATATGTAAAAGAGTATGTACAGTAGATAGATCAATACATAAAATAAGGAGGCAAACTGACCTTTGTAGCCAGGTACTGGCTATCTGGAGCATCTCTTAGAAACTTTTCGACATCATTTGATGACAGTAGGGAAGACCGAGGGGATTTGAAACAAAGGTGAGTTGAAACAGTACCAATTTCTCGGAACTTAAAACCGTTAGCGAGTTAGCAACTTCGCCTTATATCTATTTTTCTGCGCCCGTCTTGGTGGGAGTTCACGTCGGTGGTGTGTATCGCGCGGTTGTGGAGTTCTGTCAGCCGTATGTCAAAAATCGTGAAAAGTAAGTTTTTTAGGCTTTTTTATGATGTTTATATTTTTATATAGGTTTTGTATTTTGGTTTAAGTTATAGGTGTTTCGAAAGCTCTTTAACTAAAGATTCATTGTATATATTTGGTACAGTTGATTTCTTTGTATTTTCTTCTTCATTGTAGATTAAATAAAAATAGGATATTGGAAAATGGCTGCAAAGCAGACAAATGCCACAGCATACAATTCACGAATGTTGCACACAGCGTGACGGGTAGCGACGCTCCTAATTAATGTCTATGATAACTTAATTTATTTATTTTGTTTTATAATGCCAACTAATTATAAAAGAAAGACTGACAGGGGTATGGCAAGTCGCGAAATATATGATCTCGCAACAGAAAGGTTTCGAGTTATAATCTGAACGATACATCTCTCTTCAGGTATATTAAATAAAAATCTGCTTATGAAGGTGACGAAACGGCAACTGCTCCTGCAGTCTATCCTGAAAAGACTGTTTTTACAGCTTCAGAGGGCCTAAGAACTATAGAAGCCAGAACTTTTGCCTATAAATTGGCTGTAAATATAATATATAAAAAAATATAATAAAAAAATCCCTTCTGCTTGGACTGAGCATGAAATGGCTGGAAAGGTTGGCTTCGATCATTTATGAAACGGCATCCTGTTTTTCCTCTTAGACTACCTCAACCTACAACTATCGCTCGAGCTACAAGTTTAGCGGATCGAATGAACAACTTTTTTTCCAAAATTATACAACAGGGTTACAAGGGAAGGATATATGGAACGTTGATGAATCAGGTATCACAACAGTTCAGAAACCAGACCGCATCATTGTAATACTTAAGAAATTACTGAAAATTAATAACTATTGTATGTTAAAGATTTAGGAAGTTCCTTTTTATTTAAGTCGAAGGTGTAATTAACTACTTTAAGAGTTAAATATATTTATGAGACCTGTAGTTACCTACTCGAGTGATCACTTTAATATAAAAAGTTGTTTCATACTAAAAAAGTTTTATTTGAATAAATACCTTGAAATTACATCATCTTTTTTATTTTACATCCCTTAATACTTCTCAAAAATCATATGTTTCAACTCTCCTCGTCCCCTGTTTCATCTTACCTCGGTATGAGGAGAGTTGAAACATATTGACTTGTTACGGTTAAGTCGATGTCTACAACAATATTTAACGTTTACAACTACTTTACGTTAGTCATTCGCAAGTGTAAATAATTACCTATCGATTGGTACTAATATCATACGATTTCTGTGTATAGTACCTATTTGATGTATGAAATAAAATGTCAAAATTGCTTCAACTCCCCTCGGTCTCCCCTACCTTAGATTTTATCTTTATAAAACCATCAGAGCGTCTCTTTAAAAATGCAATG